TTAAATTTTTTAATTGAAAAAGGTTTTTCAAAAGGGAAGGTTGACACTACATTGTTTTTAAAACATAAAGATAAAGATTTATTAGTAGTTCAAATTTATGTTGATGATATAATATTTGGCTCTACTAATGATGCTCTTTATCAAGAATTTTCTAAGCTAGTGCAAAGTGAATTTGAGATGAGCATGATGGGGGAACTCTTATTTTTCTTGGGACTCCAAATCAAGCAAAGAAAAGATGACATCTTCATTAATCAAGCTAAGTACGTCAAGGATATGCTCAAGAAGTTTGGACTGGAAAATGGGAAACCTCATGCCACTCCAATGAGCTCATCTACAAAGCTTGACAAAGATGAAGGAGGTAAATGTGTGGATGTTAAATTGTACAGGTCAATGATTGACTCTTTGCTCTATCTAACCGCAAGTAGATTGGATATTAGGTTTAGTGTTTGCTTATGTGCTAGATACATTAAGGACACTCCTAGTTTAGGACTTTGGTATCCTAGAGACTCTAGCTTTAGCTTGCATGCCTTCTCCGATACGGATTATAGAGGATGCAAATTAGATAGGAAAAGCACCTCCAATACTTGCCAATTCCTAGGAAATATGCTGATTTCATGATTTTCAAAGAAACAAAATTGTGTTGCATTATCTACCACTGAAGCAGAATACATTTCAGCCGGTAGTTGTTGTGCACAAGTTTTATGGATAAAACAACAACTTTTTGATTATGAAATTGAAGTATGTACCATTCCTATCAAGTGTGACAATACTAGTGCTATTTGTCTCACTAAAAATCCCATCCAATACTTTAGAACTAAGCATATTGAAATTAGACATCATTTCATTAGAGATCATGTCGCTAAAGAAGATGTAATTCTAGAATTTGTTGATACTTTGCACTAATTAGCGGATATCTTTACAAAACCTTTAGATAAAGAAAGATTTTGGACACTTAGGAGAGAATTAAGTTTAACCAACCTACCTTGACCCAGTTTTTAACATTTTTAAACTGAGAAGTTCTTATAAAAATAACACTTTTGATTGCATTCTTTGCTATTAGTTAGAGGAGTTTATGATTCTTAGTGAAAATTAATTATATGTTCAAATTATGTTTAAAGATAGATTTGATTGATTGAACATGATTAATTTTCAATATATGAGTTACCAATACCACTAGAGCTAATTAATATAGCATTTTGAGTGTCTTAAACGGTTTTTTGACATTTTTTGCATAATGCATCGATGCACTATCTAGTGCATCGATGCATCCTTTGAATATGCATCGATACATCATGAAGATGAATCGATGCACTCCTTGAATGTGTATCGATGCACTATGCTGTGCATCGATACACTCGTCGTGATTTAGGTTTAAATTCTCAAAAACCTTCATTTTGCCTAAAACCTAAAAACCTCTTAAACTCGCCGTTCATTTTCCTTCATCACTCCTAATCTCCATATTTCTTCGAATCAACATATTCTTATCAGATTTCATCTATTTTTCTTCATACAATCCTGCTACAATCATCAAACTCGTGCAAAACATCACTACATTCAACTCAATCCGAAATTTCAAGGTAAATTTTTCTAAAACCCATGTTTTATTAATTTTTGAACATAGGACTAATTTTGATTAGTTCTAGGATGAACATTACATCGGGCATTGATTGTTTAGTGTTTAGATACTAAATTTTACAACCAATTTCATTAAAAACACTCAATTTTTTCAAAATTATTTTTGAATTTCGAAATTAAATATATATATATATATATATATTCAAAAATTAATGGTTTAATTATTGTTTTTGATTCAATTATGTTGTTTTCATGAAAACTATTCATATTATGATCTTCAAACATAATTTTTTTAAAAATAAATTTTCAAAACTTTTCCCATTAGGATTCGGTTTAGAGAACCTTGAAATATTGCGGACTCAATTGAGTTTTGGGATTGATTGAATTGCATATATGTGTTTTCAATATGCAGGTTACCTATCCTTAAACCATGTCAAACCCTAAACGACCTAGGTCATCTTCGAGTCGATCAAACCGTCTTCATATTCCTCCTCCACCACAAAATCCAAACCCAAACGAACCCGAGTTAACCATTCTTAACTCTTGCTTTAACCAACCCGTTCGTCTTAGAGTTGAATTATATGATAGGTTCGTTAGTCATTTTCAATCCTACAAAATTTGAGAGGAACATATCCCTTCCATTCGAGCAATGGAAGATATTAACTTTACATATATCTTCCTGTTCTTCGTTCTTGGAAATTTGATAAGTTGTGCAAAATTAAGCCCATTGTTTATCAACAATTAGTTCGTATTTTTTACTCAAATACGATATGTGTTCAAAATGCTAGTCAAACCGCAACCATAGGCATACGATCCTATCTCTTAGGAGAAGTCATTTTTATCAATTAAAAAACAATTGCTGATGTTTTCGGTTTAGACGATGATGGAATAGATAATGAAAAGGATCTTCTGGCTACTCCTTATAAGTCTAATGATAGTGTTAGTACCTTACGAACTCATCACGATCGTTTCCTTCATTTGATGATCTCTTGGTGGTTTAGACCATCCGGAGGTAGGTACTCCAAACTTAGAGTCATAGATTTATGGTGGATACATTGTATCCAACATAATAAGAAAATTAATTAGCCAAAAATTATCTTTGGTGAGCTTGTTGATACCGTAAACATCATTCCTTCCAAAAATGTTGAAACTTTAGTTTACGGGTGTCTTCTTTCTAATATATTTATCCGACTATGGCTTAAGGTCTCGGTTGACATTCCCATGCCTCTCCAAAACCAAATCAACCTAACCTCCTTAAAGAAAGCTGAATAGAAGCAAGATAAGGAAACATGTCAATGGGAATATAGACCCACTGAGCAAACTCCGGGAGCTAGTTCTTCACGAGCTCCTCTTGTACCTAGCTCTTCTCGTGCTCCACCTACACCTGCACCAACTACGGACGATGATCCAGAGTTTCAACAGCTTATGCAAGATATTGACGATCACGTACCAGACGATGAGCCAGCACCGAAACCAGCACATCAAGAGGAACAAATGCCTCCATATTTTCGATCATTTATGGAGTTATTTGATCTGAGGTTTGCTTCCATGGAATCTCAACTGACTGAGTTTTAACGGGAGATGCGTGAACATATGGATGCTCTCACATTTGAAGTGCGAGCACATTATCCTCCTCCCGATCCTCCTATGGACGACTAGACATTGCCTTGCTTTTGCTTTTGTGGATTTAGAACTTATTGTTTTAACATTTTGAATCTTTGTGGATTGTTTATGTTGTTTGGATGTTTAACTTTGAATGCTTGAACTTATATATTTGGTTTTTGAACTTATATTGGTTTATTAGATTTTTGTAACATTTAGCTTATGACCAATTTTACCATTTCACATTCGTTTATTATGAATATTGAATTATGAAACTAATGGCTAACCTTTCCCTTGATTGTGATCTTAGCAGCTTACGCTATATTTACAAATATCAATTGGATATGTTTTTCAAAAATATTTTTTAAAAACATTTTATAGAGTCTTTTTGATTTAACAAAAAGGGGGAGAAGTAAGATGAATTATAGTAAGAGGGTGTAATAAAATTGATTTCAAAAATAATTTTCATAGAAAATCTTAAATTTACTCAATTGTTTTGTTATATCAAAAAGGGGGAATTGTTGAAAACATTTTGATGTTTCGATATAACAAAGTAAGTTAAATGAATTTTAAGATTTTACAAATGATTTTCTAAGTATATTCGATACAATTATTCGAATATGAAAATATTACTCCAAGCCTTTCAAAGTTTAATTTCAATCCTTACTAAAGTGTAAAATTGTGTTTTATACTTAAAATATTTTTGAAACAATTTTCAAAAAGTATTTCGAACAAAAAACGAGCCAAAAATAAAATTTGTGAAGGGATGCACCGATGCACACACCATTTCGAATGCATTTTATGCATCGATGCACTGCCATGCATCAATGCACTTAGGGTTTTATGAAAACATCGAATGCATTTTATGCATCGATGCACTCCAGGCTTGTTTAAAACATCGAATGCATTTTATGCATCGATGCACTCCAGGCTTGTTTAAAACATCGAATGCATTTTATGAAGCGATGCACTATTAGTTCACCGATGAACTAAGTGTTCCAACGGTCGAAATATTTGAATTTTACACTTGATGCATCGATGCACCTTGACTATGCATCGATGCACACACGTTCCCAACTGATTTTATTAATTGTTTTCACACGATAATGACTCTATTAACTCCACTATTGATCCCCAACGTTCAGAAATAATCCAAGGAGTATTTAAACAAGCTTAGAAGCCATTGATCAAGAACAAGAAACAAGAATCAAGAGAGAATCAAAGAGAAAGCATCAAACCTCAAGTTTGAGTATTTTCAAGCCTATTTCATTCAATATTCATCTTTTCTTTCAAGAACACTTATTGTACTCAATTGTATTATTCTTGAGTGTTCTTTCTTTGTTCTAAAATTGTGCAAACATCTTTCCTTGTGAGGATTTTCTTGTAAGTTTGCAAAATTTGTATTGTTCTCTTTGGGAGAGAGTGTTCTCAAGAATTTGGGGTATAGTTCTTGAGGGATTTGTAAGGTTACTCTTTGTCCTCAAAAGAAAGATAAATTAGTGAATTTGTGGAAAATCCTTAGTGTGGATAGCTAAGGTAGTGGACGTAGACTTTTGTTGAGAAAGTCGAACCACTCTAAATCGCTGTGCAAATATTTTCAATTTTCTGCAAAAGCTTCCACCAAAATTTTTATTGCCAATTCACCCCCTTCTTGGCCAATTCCTTCGATCGATTAACTCAACACTCATATTTTAGATTGTTAAACGTGTAAATATTAGAGGCTATTTTTGACATTATGTCATTAATGTTTTTTGGATAAGTAAAATTCATTCATCCAAAAAGAAACAGGCAAGCTGCAATACAACGTATCCCCTATACAATCTCTATGCAATTACATCAACCCCAAGCTGTACACAATTACATATTTATAGTATCTAATTTGTTCATATGTGATCTATACATTTTAATTCTCACAGCATCCTTAATCCTACTTATAATAGTATCAATCGAGCGAGGCAGACCTTAAGTAGATGAACCAGAAGAGACTTACCTTTGAGATTTTGTAACAACCATTGAAGGTTATCACACCAGCATAAGGGCTCCTGCACAAGGCCACAGGAGAGAATGACAACATGCCATATGCTCTTCGCAAAGACACATTAAGAAAAAAAGGTGATCACGAGACTCAATACCAATATTACACATTCCACAGGAGGTATCCGCAGCCAAACCAGACCTTGCAAGCCTATCCTTTGTAGGCAGCCTATCCAAAATTTCCATCCAAGAGATCAAAGAGAACTTAGGAATGTGGCCTGGAAACCACACAAGACGATGTCAGCTGACCTTCCCGAGTCTACTTCGAATGTTGTCCCATATCCAACCAACTTTAATTTGAGCCCAATTACTGCTAAAGCAAAATAGCCTCCAAGCCTCACTTCTTAGCTTAAGCAATTTAGCCAGAATCCAGCTGAAGTGAATATTGCAATCAACATTCCAAAAGTCAGCAGTCCTAAAACATTACGCATTAATCCATGCAATCCAGAGTGAGCCTTCTCCTGCTAAAATTTTCTTTATAAGTAATAAGCAGTAGGCTTTGCTCCAATCCAAAAAGTTCTTTAGCCCCAAGCCTCCTTCACATTTCAAGGAGAAAATCTGGCTCCAGCTAACCCGAGCACCCCTAGCTGGGATGTCACCCCCTTTCCAAAAAAAACATCATACAAAGCTTCTCAATATCCCTGATCACCCCTTTAGGCAGAACAAGCTGTCTGCTCCAATAGCTAAAGATGCTAAACAACACATCTTTAATGAGCTGAAGTCTGCCACCAAAACTCAATTTTTTTACTTGACCATTTGCTAAGCTTCTCCTTAATTTTAATCACCAGAGCAGAGCAGTCATTCCCTGTGAGTTTCCTAGTTACCAAAGGTACACCAAGATACCTAACAGGGAGTTTCCCAACTTTAAACCCAGTACCAGAATGAATATGCTCAAGGACAAGGTCAGATACACCACAAGCATAAAGCTCAGTTTTCATGTCATTAAGTCTAAGGCCAGAAAGCTCATAGAAGACCTCTAAGGTGCTTAATACACCCACCACATCATCAAGGGATCCATGGAAAAAGTCCAACAGGTCATCAGCAAAACAAAGATGGGTGAGAGAAATCCTTTTGCATTTGGGGTGATATTTAAATATACCATTTTTGGAAGCAACATCTAATAAGGGGGATAGTACATTCATGGCTAAAATAAAAAGGTAAGGGGAAATAAGATCCCATTGCCTAACCCCTATAGCACCATTAAATTAACCTACCAGACTTCCATTCAATGAAATTGAATATTTAGGGGAGGTGGCACAAGTCTTTACCCATCCACAAAATTTAGTAGGCAGCCCCATAGCTTCAAGCACAACCATAAAAAAGTCACAGTTCACAGAGTCAAAGGCTTTTTGTAAATCAATCTTGATGGCACACCTAGGAGAAAGACTCTTCCTAGAGTAACCCTTGACAATTTCCTGAGCTAACAAAGTATTGTCAGTAATATTTCTACCCTTGACAAAAGCAGTGTGACTAGGTGAAATCATACCAGGAAAAATTGGGACAATCTAGTAGTGAGGATTTTAGTGATGGTTTTATAGACCACAAAACAACAAGAAATTGGTCTAAAATCTTTGGCCATGCAAGCATTTAATAACTTTGGAACTAAGACAATTGAGGTAGCATTAAAAGCTGGCAACAAGAAAGAGGAATGGAAGAAATACCTAATTGTAGTAAGGAAATCACTACCAACCACTTCTCAGGCAGCCTTAAAAAACCAAGAGGAGAAACTATCAAGCCCAGGACTTTTCCCATTACCTTGCCTAAACAAAGCATCCTTTATTTCTTTGTCATCCACGTCTTTGGAAAGAACATCCCCAACATCTACTGGTAAAGAGAAATTTAACAAGTTTCTCAAGTAGTCCATAGTAGAACCCTTTACTGCTGGATCAACAATACAAATGAGGTTAGTGAAGAAGTTCACTAACTTAGCAGCCATTCATCAAAAGAGTCCAAGAATTGCCCACTTTCACTCATTAAAACTTTTATGGCATTCCTCTTTTTATTTGACTCAACTCTTTGATGAAAAAATTTAGTGTTGAGATCACCTTGCTTTAACCAGTGCACTTTAGCCTTCTGCTTGTAGAATTCAGACTCAACTACCTCCAAATCCACCAGCTCAACATAAATTCTTTCCTCATCCTCCATACTTCTGTGATCAATGTGGTTCAAATTATGCAGCTGGATTCTTTCATAGTCTGTTCTCTTGCTGAGAACTCTGTTAGAGATGTCAGAGAATTGATACTTGTTAAGTTCCTCCAGTCTAGGCTTTAGCCTTTTCAACTTGAGGAACAAGCACTGCATAGGTTACCAACACACTGCTCTAGCCAAGAGTCCTTAACAATTCTTAAAAAGTCATCACTAGTCATCCAACAATTAAAAAACTTAAAAGGCTTAGGCCTCCTAGCCAAAGCACCCCTATGAGTCCAAAGTACACCTAACCAATGATCTGAGACACCTTGAGCCATATATTTAGCAAACGAATCCGGGTAGTCAATCAACCATTGAGGGTTGATCAGGATTCTGTCTAATTTACGGGCTAAAAAGCCCACATCCGCCTGTTAGACAAGGTGAAAGTGGGCCCTAGGTATGGATGATCCATGAGGTCCAAATCCTGTAGGCAGTCTTGAAGATCCTCCATGTCAGAAGAACTGTACAAACCCAGATTCAAAAAATCAGAACTTTCTTCTGCTCTTTGGATAATATTAAAATCACCCCCAACTACCCAATAAGCAGAGCCAACCATACCTTCTAGATTCTTTAGATGGTTTCATAGTTCTCTTCTGACCAAGCCACTATTACTAGCATAAACAGCTGTGATCAGAGTTCTATGACCATTGACAGAACCATCAATGGTAAGGGACTGGTCACTACAACTTTTAATAGAAAACCCCAAGTTCTTCCTCCACAACAACCAAATTCTACCACCCTCAGCATAGTCATAGTTATCAGCCATGTTCCATTCTTCAGAGAAAACATTGAAAATCTTACCAGAGTTAAGCCTTCTAATTCGAGTTTCTAATAAACATATAACATCCACATCCAATTTAACCAACCTACTGAACACCTTACCCAGCTTAAGAGGATTATTAATTCCTCTTACATTCCAAAAGCTTATTAGCATCAAACATTAACTGAACCCACACACCAACTCCCACATTTACACTACACTTTACTTTATTAACATGGTCTCTCTTTTGGGTTTTAATTTTATTAAGGAGAGCAACAACCCCCATAGAAGCCACTTGATCCTTCATCGGACCATCAATAACACCACCACCAGCCAGAGCTTTAAATTTACTAGAGGAGCCCATATTATCTTTATTCCTGCCTCTAACCTTTTTCTTATGAGCCACATAGTCTTGTAGGGAGGGAAAATCATTCTTAGGACTTGCATCCTCCTGCAGGGAATGTAGAGTTACTTCCTCTACTAAAGCAGAACAAAGCTTACTGTCAAGACCAGTAACCTCCTGATTCACATCAGTCTCCTCATTAAGAACTAACAATTCACCACCAGAAGAGTTAGAGATATTCAGTTCAGCACCAGAAGAACTAAAGGTTCCAGTTTCGTACTAGTAGATGCAACATCCTATGCAAGGCCATCAGAGATCTCTTGAAGAGCTAAAACATAAATTTCCTCAGTAGGGCCAACCTATAGCTATGAACTCATATTACCCACACCAGAAATAGGGTTAACAACACTTGAGGAACCAGTATGAAGAAATGCCTTCTCAAAGGGTACATTCAGATTAACAGTTATATCTACACCTTTCTCATCACCTAGCTCAGAAGGATTGATATCTTTCCTTCTCCAAATCTGTATCTCTTTCCTCACAGAAACCTTCTGAACCTCGGCACATTTATTTTCCAAATGACCAAAGGATTTACAAGAAGAGCAAAATTTTGGCAGCCAAGGCACAACCACTTTAACCCTCGCAATAGTGTTATCCTTCAGGACTACTTGAACCTCATCAGGAATCTCAGAACCAGTAGAAATTTTGATACATACTTTAGCATATTCTAACCTCTCCCTAGAAGTAGTGACAGAATCCATGTATAAAGGATTTCCCAGGACACTGGAAATATAACTAAGTCCCATTTTAGTGTATAATTCTAGTGGGACATAATAAAGCTGAACCCAAACATGCATGTGAGATAAATCGAAGTCTAGCTTCTGCATGCTTGGCTCCCACTTCCTTAGCACCAGAGGTTTATTCTGGATATGCCATGGTCCATTCTCAAGGACCCAATCCCTTAAAGAAGCATTCGCAAACAAAAATACATAGAGGTTAGCACCAGCTAGACTAACCTTTACTGGAGAAAACTTCCCCCAAAGTGAGCCAATTATCTGTTTCATCGAGGCAAAATTAGGTACATCACCTATGAATTGACCCACGATCGTAGTATTCTACTCAGCACTACCCTCCTCAATCACCGATAATGGTGGCTTAACAGTAGCAGAACCGTCGATAAACTCAGGAGGGAAGAAACCGAGAGAATGTTCTTCCATCCCCAAAAAGAGTTTCCTCCAATCAAGCTTCGAAACCTCGAATCCATGCAATTAACCGTAGAATTAGCCAGTATACATCCAAAATCAGAAGACCCATAACACAATTGGAATCAGATAAGAAGATCCAGATGCACATTAAACCTGCTAACATGCACCTCGAGAGACCTCATTTCCTCTCTGTCATAAACCTTTCATCTATCTTTAAACAAATATTACTTGTATTTGTCATTAAAATTTTTTAGCAACCTTCTCTCTTTCACTATTGGATCCAACGATGAATAAGCAACCTTTACCCAAAATTAAAGGATCCAACGGCTAGGATTTTAACGGCTAGGATTTTAAAAAGCCACCAAAAGTTGTCTTTGGTCAAATGAATTATTTACTTCTTGGATGATTAATGATCAAGTCCTAAGTCCAAACATTAATACCCCAACGATTCGTAATATTTTTAGTTAGTATCATAAAGTAATATCTATTTGAAAGATTCTTAACGATTTGATAATGAACGTTCAAACATCACTATAAACATCATCCTTGAATCTAAAATCTCTAGAAATAACAATAATCTCTTTAATCAATAAAATCGTCTAATTCATATAACACTCGGTAATTCTCTAATAACGATATATATAGTATAGTGTATGGATCCGCATTATATCAAGCTAGGAAAGGTAACGATTTCATGGTTTTATGAAGAATAAAACGTTAATGGCCAAAAATATTTTTAAAAAAATGTCCAAATATCAATCTGAAATCTTGAATTTAAACAAATCCATGGCACCCTTATTCCAGTTTAATGGTAAGCATTGTATCTTAGTCCATTTATTGAACCCTCTTTTGTGTGTATATATATATATATATATGAAATAGAGGTTAGCATGCAGTATAACTGGTATGTTTATCAAGCCAAGAAACTATGTCACTAGACACTCTAAGAATCATATCATCTGGTTCACCTTCATGAAGAGAATGGCCAGCATTCTCGTATATAATAATGTTCTTGTCAGAGCTGCTTGCTTTCTCGTACAACGCTCTGCTAACAGATGGGTCCGTAACGATGTCGTTCTCTCCATGCAAGATCAGTATTGGAATTGAAACCTGAAATCATAAATTCAAACCCAGAATCGAAACTGGGTTTATAACATATTCCGAGCTAATCATACTATTGTTTAAAGAAAAATAAGGTATCCAAGAGCTATATCATCCTACATATTTCTCCAAGTACAAAGTAGGAAGAATCACTGACCGAGACAACGAAAGGGAAAAGAAAAATGGGATAAGATTAGTATTTCTTTGTAACAATGTCCTCCCCATGCAAGATTAATTTCGTTCCGAAACGTAGGTAACAAAATTTACTAGAGCGAAAGGGAAAAGGAAACTCGACCTTCTCCAAATTTTGTTCTATCTCAGCAGTGATTCTCAACAACTCCAGAGCAGTCCGCAAGCGTGGTTTGTCCTTGTAAGCAATAACATTATAGGGTGACTGTATTGGCAGAAAAAAATGAGAACTGAATATCTATAATAGAAGTTTTGGTTATTTATTCGAGCAAATACTATAATGCGGAGAGATGAAATGATCCATAGGGATAACGAACTGCATAAAATGTCATAGCTATGCTCTTAAGCATCGTAGAGACACCGTTAATATCGGTGATATTTTCCATAAACATTAACATACTCCGAATCATTCCGTAGGAACGAACCAGTTTTCTCTTCTTAACGTCTCTAAATGCCGCCTCCGCCAAATCCTTCTGCGGGACTAACTTCTGTTTCGGAAGAATATTAGCCACACCGATCAGAATTTGCTTCAGTATCCAGGATGGAACCAAGTCGTCAGCTATCTAAATGAACAACTCCTATCGATAGAGGTAATAAAAAAGAACGTGTGAACAAAATCCTGAAAATGTTTATGCTCAGAACTATACTTTGCACATAGGAGCAACAAGAATGGCACCACTCCAGGCATTAGGTTGCTTTAGGTGCATCTTCAGAGCTACGGCTCCACCCATGGACTCCCCAAAGAGGAAGGATGGAAGAGTCCAAAAATTAGGATCTTCTGCAATTGAATTAAACAAATGTAGACATTAAACGCAGTCCCGAAATCAAGCAAAACAAAGGGAGCAAGTCTTCCTTCAAATAAAATTCTGAACAGAAACATCATCATTGATAAATAATTTATAAAAGAAAAATGAACTTGCAAAAGAAATAGAAAAACTGAACCTTCTTATGTATTAAGAGTATCACAACAAGAGAACTAAAAGAAAATCCCAGTTAATTTTTACTGATGGTATGGCAAATTTTAATAACAATAATGATGTTTACAAAGATAAAATAACAATCTTCCAATTCAACTTCTGAAGGCTGAAAGTTTAATGATCTTCTACTTGATTTGATAGAGTAGAAAGGTCGACATAGTTCTTGAAATTGATTTCTCTAGTCTCTACCGTCAAAGTCATAAGCTCCCTCTGGTCTCTTCTTTCGAGGAAGATTCAATTAGATTCTTGCTTGCACAATTGAAGTGAAATGAGAGGACAGAAAAGGAATATTGAAAAACAGAAGGTGGATGTGGAATTTCTTCAACTCAATATGAAAAGAATAGAGAAGTCAGACAACAACTATGTGAGTGCGATTTACACCTGAATATAAATTTTGATCACGCAACTTATACTGATTACAAATAGGAAAATGTGAAAGAACATGAAAGTTTAAGAAAATTTTAGTAATAAATCCACTAACAAAAGATCAAATATCTATCATCATTTTTTTATGTTCTATTATTTTCTTATTCAAGTTGAGAAGTTTGTTTTCCGTTGTCAGCAAAGCATTTCGGTGCTTTACCATGGTATATGACTGCCATATCAGTGCCTTCTGCGTCTTCATTTTGTATCACAGTCAAACTCTACCCCATGGAGTGCTGAACCCAATAGCAACAATTGTCATATACATAAGGTCAATGCACATCTTTTAGACGTAACTTTTAATTGAGAAACCATGCATGAAGCATAATTTCATCTTTTTCCAAGTTCTAGGGGTGATAATTACTATTAGGTGATTCATGACATTTGAATATTAACAGCAATGTAGAACAAAAATCATTAAGGATCATATATTGCCAATAACTCGCACAAAAAAAGTGTAATAAACTATATCCCCATATCAAGCTACTTGATATCAAGGATATCAACGGATTTTCCTATCTAGGGGAACCTGAGGCTATCTAAGAAAAAGATTGTAGCAAACCGAGAAGTTCTACGGGAAGATGCAAAAATAATATCATTAGGGCTTAGGCGGAAAAAGCAAACCTTTAATTTTGCTGTATTGCTCAATGACATCATCCACAAGACTATCAAAGCTGTGAATATAGCAATGAAGACCTTCAGACAGGCCAAATCCAGGGTAATCCATTGCATAAACTCCATATCCACATGATGCCAATTTCCTGGCAATTCCTGCCACAATGTCAAACGATAATTAGGTCCCATTACAACATTCGCGAAACTACAAAAAAGGTCATTAGTTACTAGTTCTGAACTACATGCCTTCAGTGAAAAATGTGCAAGTGTCTCCATAACCATGACAAAAGAACACCATTGCCTTGGGGTGGGACTTCTCTGGAAGCCAACGTTTTGTGAAAATTTCCAATCCCCTGGAATTCACCTCATATGACTATACCACAAAATTAAAAAATATTAAGTGATTATGAAGTAGACTATAGCCAATGCAATGAATCGGAAATGAAACATTGGCAAAAAAGACGACTTATGTAAGAACTCCATCAATTGTGTCTAAGAACGAAAAGGAAAGCATCTGCAAAAGCAAAATCATAGGCATATTTACACTGGAGAGATCTTTTAGAAAGAAAAAAGCTTTCAGGTTGCAGAAGGTAATTCTTTCTTAAGGATAATCTGGTGGCTTTTCAGTCGATATCAACTCAACTGAACAGCAAAAATCTTGGCAAGGTCTTTACTAAAAGAAATTCATTTGAATTTGGAAGTTCTTAAGCATTCAAAATGAGGTCAAAGAAGAGGGGCTCTAGCAAACAAGAGCCTAAGCAAATACCAAAGCGAAAAGTGCAAGTTCAAAGCTTTTTACCTCCTTTATCTTCAGTCCATTTGGAGGTGTCTGTCAAAACAAAGTAGACCAATCAACATTTACGTAACAACCATTCAAATGAAAAAAGTATCTATTCGGCTTATCAAACCAAAAAGTAATTGATATGAAAATTCTGTTCCCAAATTGACAATGTGTTTAATCATTCTAATAATTACCCAATTTGCTTGAATTTAAAGTATTATTTTTTCACTCAAACTAATCAACTTAACTGAATCCCCTTACCTATCAGTAAAAAGCATCAGATAATAAAATGAAATAATGCCCACAAACAATCCTACTTATAACTTAATTCATTTTAACTATACACCAACTCAACCAAATCCTCTAGACAGAATCAATGAAACTCAAATGAAAGAACCAAAAACAAAAAAGAAAACCCAAGTGAACGAAACCCATCTCGAAGTCGTTTTATGAGAATGAAGTTGGAAAGCAATGACCTTGAACAAAATATGATCAATTCCAAGTTGAATATGCTTAAAGGCTTCCCTGGCTCTCCTTTTAGCAGGTGCTTCATCCATGTTAGCATCCAAAATCTTTTGCAACTCGTCATCCACCCCTTGATGCTTCAGGGGCTTAGCCATTACTCTGCTTTTCTCTCCACTTCAACAAAACCCCTTCCACCAAAACAAATTTTCTCTCTTTTTAGATACCCATTCCTTCGTTTTAATGGAAAAAAGTAAAAAAATAATAATAATAAAGTTTTTCCTTTTTTGGCTTTGGTTTCTAGAATTACCGTCAAAAGGATGGCTCCGGAACAAGTTTGAAGATTTCAAAGCCATGTGGATTTTTATCTTTGAAAGAGAGTAAAGAGGAATGAGCAAATGAAATGATTACGTAACGTCAGCAAACAAAATTACAGAAGGGGAGTGTAGAGATTCTCTGTGGTTTTTCTTTATGAGAGAAGAAACGTCCATAAAACAGAACACTAGAATTATAGCGATAAAAAGGATAAAATGTACCATCACCCTATGAAATATGTTATTTGTATTGAGTTATTTTTAAAGTATTTTTTGAGATGTTTAAATTTTTAAAAGTTTAAATTATTATTTTATTCATTTTAAATTTTTAATTCCGTTAAAAAAATATAATGGTAAATTATATATTTAGTCATTCAGTTATTCTCGTAGTTATACTTTGATCACCCAATTATATATATATTTTTTAAAAAATCACCATTAAACTTAAGTTTTTTATTTTATTTTGATCATCCAATTCGATTCGATTTGATTTATTTTTTACATTTTAATATATAAGAATTCATTTGTTACTTTAATTTATAATAAAAAATAATATTATAATGTACATAATAAGCAATATATTAAGTTGTTTGTACTTGAAATTTTAATAAAAGAAATATCAAATGTTAAAATAAAATATCATAAATATTTTAAGAAATAAAAATCTGAATGGATCATTATTCATTTGTAAATATATGTGTTTGGTAAAATTTAAATCTCGTATTTTAAATATTCGATATGTTTGGATATTCGAAATTTATATGAGTATTTTGAATATACGTGTTTTGTAAAATATAAGTGAGTAAGCCAAGATTATTGAAAGTCTTATGTTCTTAATGAACTACACTCGGTCAAACATTGTTTATGTTGTTACTAGACTAAGTAAATTTATAATCCAAGCAGTGAACACTGAAATGTTCTAAGCATTTATTGACGTATCTCAAGGTACTATGCCTTGGGGTCTGCAATTTTTTGGTTATCCAACAATCATCAAGAGATATTGTGAGGCCAACTGGTTAACTGACAATGGTGAGATCAGCTCTACCAGTGACTATGTGTTCACTTTGGAAGGAGTAATAATTCTATGGACATTTGTTAAACAGACATATATCGCTCACTCCACCATAGAATTAAAGTTTATAGCTCTTGATTTAGATAAACAAAAAGTTGAGTAACTTAAAAATCAACTTATAGAGATTCCTTTATGAGAAAGGCATGCACCTTCCATTTTCTTACTATGTGACTCAAAAGTAGCAATATGTGTTGTTCAAAATTAAGAATACAATGATAAAATAAGACATATCGGGATAAGATATAAATGTGTGGGACACTTAACAAGGAATGACGTACTCGCAATGGAGTATGTGAAATCTGAAAGGAACCTAGTTTGTCCACTAATCAAATGATTATGTAAGAAATTATTCTTGATACGTCGAGGGAGATAGATCTTAAGCCCATTAGTTGAATCTTTTACACTCTTTCATACTCCTATGGCGCACTGTGTATAATTGAAGTTGAGTCTTCGTACTCTTAATGAATTCACTGTCCAAGTTTTGGATGGTCATATTGAGAACAACTTGATGAATCCACTGACGTAAAATGATGAGTTTATACTGTTAATGAGTTCATAGCCATGATTTGGGTAGTCTTTGTGAGAAGGATTTGATGAATTCACCTAATTAATAGGATTGACTATTAAATATTCTTAATGAATTTATATCCAAACTCTGGGTGGTCCTAGTGAGACGATGATGTAAGGCTGACCAGGCTTCTTCAATAATGAAGAAGTTGGCAACCTTGTTGTTTCTCGATCTAGGAGAGACACCAAATGCTACACCTTGAATTGAAAAGTAATATGCACAAAAGAAGAATAATTGGTTAAGTAAATGAATAATTAAGAAAGGAAATGGAAAGAATTGAAATGGATAGAATAGTTATCACAGAAGGGCTGCGGAAGTGTTGTAGAATGATCCTTCAAGTGATGATGGATTCGGCCTCCAATGGTGGTAAATGGACGAATGCCTTGTTGATGATGAAGGATGATTATATGGGTGTGAAGGGATATGGATAATGGTGATGGAAATATTAATGGAATGTTGATGGAGATGGCGTGATAGTGATGATGGAAGGTGGTAATGAATAGATAGTATCTTATAAGACTAAGAAGGAACCAATGCTATAAAGGAGCAAAGACCCGTTTCTTATAAGTCGTTATAAGGGATGGTATTAAGGACTTTGACCCTCTATCTATAGGAGATAGGAACCAGAAGTATCAAGGTGAAGGAATGACGCCACAAGCTTTAGAAAGGCTTGCTTAATCGATATAGTTCTAAAAAGAACTTGAAGAGAGAATAATCTCACAAAGGATTTTTAATTATCAAAGGGTTGTCTTACAAATGAAATATCCAAGCCTATTTATAGGCTAGCATAGGTTTGGCCGAATAAATAGGTGTTCATTCGGCTAAATACATGACTATTAAATAGAAATACATGATGTTTTAATGAATGAAGATGTCCTTGGCCGAATGGTCTCCTTGCTCTTCATCTTGGCGCCAATTTTGAATAAAAAGGATGCTTAGGCCGAATAGAGAGAACCCTCTTCATTTTGGCACCCATTTCATCCACACGCATGGCACATGTGTGGGCTGGTCATGAGGCACTCACATGGGTGTCTTGGGGTCTTATGGTGTGTCTCCTACTTGGCGTGAAGTTGAGCAGCAACTTAGGTGTGACTTTGCATCCAACTTGCTTCTAGATGATATGGCGTCAATGGGGCAGCAACTATTTATGAAAGGTCACATTTGCGGAAGGCAACCTTTCATCATTTGAGCTACTTCCAATGTGTTTGAGCTGAAGATGAGCTGGCCATAGATTCAATACATGACAATGAGTCTTAGGACAACTCCTTGTGAAAGGGCACTTCTCGGATTGGCAACTCTTCGCGAAAAGGTACGAATTCACAAAATTCGACCTAGACCATATTTGTAGTGCTCTGTGTGGTGAAGATGATGGTGCAACTCTCCAGTTGAAAAAAAGTCTCTAGCTAGCTCAAAAGTCCAACTCAAGTGAGCTATGAGCTCGGGGGTCAGCTGGCAACTTTGTCCCAAAATGTTCTTGAGCTGTCCCGGAGTTGTCCTAGTTAAGTTTCCATAGCTCTTGGACTCCAATGCTAGCTTTAAGTCAGCTCCCATCATATGGCCGAACATGCACCTACAAAAGAAAGCATAATATAAGCTAAGTATATGAATTATTATAAAGTAATAAGAATGTGCATATTATAAAGATGTGAACTATAGGTTATAATAATAACTCATGCATCATATGATAATGAATGAATATTATTATTATAACTATAGATTATATGCATGAATATCAATCAATGATGCAAACCATAGGACATAATGAATGAATGCACATGTTATGATAATTCAAGCATAGTCTAATATGAAAATGTATGCTCATAATAATATATAGTGCATAAATGAGTAAATATAATATAAAGTAAGGTAGAACTCCCTTATATTGAGCTTGATGGATTTTCAATGATGTGAGTATGTCATGCAGAAAGTTGGTGCTAGACAGGATCACATCAGACGAGCTTGGTGAATTCACTTAATCTTAATGTAGGTTGAGCTTATTAAATGCTCTTAATGATTTCATATCCCTGGTTGGGTTGGTCTATATTGGGATAGACTTGATGAAATCTCCTATGTATGTGTGGAGAACCAGTCACCTTCTATGAAAAATATTAGGATCATTTTTTAGAGCACTTACCAATATCCTAAGGTATATTGTCTATATTGTTAATCTATCACGGAATTTAGTTGGAGAATAAATTAGTTGTGTTATGAGTTTACTCTTATCTTAACAAATTTCATATTTATTCACTTGTTAAAGAGAAGAATTGCTCGTTTCATTATATTAGTTTCATATATGTTCACTAATACTTAAAAAGATAATTTTGCATTGCTCTTTTCTCATTTAAGAAATAAACTTTTTGAGCAATATTATCTATTTGCATTAGTAAGGAATTGTGAGTAATGCAAATTCACATCACGATTAGTTTGAATTTCTTTCAAATGATAATACTAATTTCTTTTAAATTTATTTATAATATATTTTTATATTTTTACTTTTGGGATAAATATATAATTTGAATTATTTTATTTTAAATTTAAAATGAGTGGTTTGATTAAACCAAAAGAGATCTTGTTTGAATTTTTATCTATTTTTTGGACGTTTTTACTCCTACCTCACACTTACAAAAATGAGGCTATTGCTAATTCATTTTCACTAATTCAATACTCTTTTATTCATCTTTTCTCATCTTATCATTTTCTCTCAGCAATAGTTTTTTTTATTTGCTCCGGAAAAATATTTTAATTTTCGTTTATTCTTTTATCACTAAAGAAAAAAGCAATCAACTGAGTTCTAACTTCCTCTTTTAGGTATACAAATTAGGAAACATTGTGTTAACCTCGGAGGTCAATCGTTCATTCTTGTGTTTACTTATTTGTTGCGTTATTTTATACTTATTAATGTTAATTCATTTGTTTTGTAGTATACAGTTCTTACAACATAAGTTGCATAGCCGAAATACAAACTTAATCTCCTACTACTTCAAGGTCACTTTAGTTTACAATACAAAAAAGTATACAAGTGATCATATATGCATAGTGTTGTTAACGCTCAAAATGTAACTTATTTTTACGGTAATTTAATTTTATTATAAATAGTTTTAACTCATGCCTTGAAAATAATATTTTTGCCCTCACTATTTAGCCTATAAATAATAAGAAATTTTACTCTTTTGAGATATATTCCTAAGTATATGTTTTCTTTAAAAACACTCTTTGGTTTTCATAAACCTATTTTGTGTGTTGTTTTGAGTTTTAAGAGAATACTAATACCATTTAAGTTCACTCCATTTTTTCAGGTATATGAAATTTGAAGAGATGTAACACCCTCAACCCAGTCTAGACAAAAACCAAATCAGAGATGTTACTAGAACATAAATCAAAATTAAATGTTCGCAAATCATACACAATATCAACTTAAAATCATCAAAACAAAATCGAAT